TAACTACACTTTTCGTGTTATTATGTGAGAAACATTTGTTCTGTGATATTAGTTTGGCACTTTATGACAAGACAGGCAGATAAAAAATCTCTCATTTGAAAGTCACGTGTCTAGTATCTGTAAAACCGCATTTTTCCATCTTAAAAACATATCTAAATTACGCCATATGCTCTCATTAACAAATGCAGAACAATTAGTTCATGCGTTCATGACATCAAGGCTAGATTATTGTAATGCTCTACTGGGTGGTTGCCCTGCACGCTTAATAAATAAACTACAGCTAGTTCAAAACGCAGCAGCTCGAGTTCTTACCAGAACCAGGAAATATGACCATATGAGCCCGGTTCTGTCAACACTGCATTGGCTGCCTATTAAACATCGTATAAATGTTAAAATATTGTTGATTACTTACAAAGCACTAAATGGCTTAGCTCCGCAGTACTTGAGTGAACTTTTAAAACATTATAGTCCTTCACGTCTATTGCGATCTCAAAATTCCGGCCAGTTGATAATACCTAGAATATCAAAATCGACTGCAGGCGGTAGATCCTTTTCTTATTTAGCACCAAACCTTTGGAACAGTCTTCCTACCATTGTCCGGGAAGCAGACACACTCTGTCAGTTCAAAGCTAGACTAAAAACACATCTCTTTGACCTAGCATACACATAATACATTATAGACTTCGATAATTCAATGTTAGGCTGCATAGATTAGGTCAGCCGGAATTGGGAACACTTCCCTTAAATCCAGATGTACTCATTACATCATAAGAAGAATGGCATCTACGCTAACTTTAGTGTCTTTGTTTATCCCGAGGTTTTCCTGCAGCCTGCCGGATCCAGGCCGTATCCAGATCTGACTAAGGAGATTAAGAAGAAATTTGTGCTTTGAAAATGAATAATAAGCACATAAGAATGATTTCTTTTTCATAATAAGTTTGAGTTGAAGTTGTTCGTAATAAAGATGCTGTCCTATTTATTAGTTTCATTGTGTTGTTCTTGGAAAAATGCCACATCACAAAAAAAACAAAAAACAGTACAACAGGTATCAGTATCATCGAGTACCAGAAAAAGATATCAGTACTCATACTCGATCCTTAAAAAATGGTATCGGTGCATCCCTAGTGAATAGGATAATCAAAGCGATGATTGTTTTTTGAGGGTGTTAAGTTTGAATTTCTTTTCTCTTTGTCTCTTTCAGTCCCAGGTTAAGGTCGCTGTCCTGTCCCTTCCTGCTCTTCACCGTGATGAGATCGCATCAGGACTGGCTTCCAGACTAGCTTCAGATTCCAGAAGTCACTTCCGTGTTGGTTTCAAGAGAGAGACAGACAGGTTGCCGCTTGATTTCAATATGACTTTAAACTATTCAACCGTGAGACGACTCGGGCTGTTTTCTGTGCACACACATTCAAAGCACACTCACAGAAAAAGGGAGTTTAGTGTGTTTATAAACCATTCAAGCATTTTCAAACTGCAGGCATGTGTAACTATATTGGGCAACTCTTAAAGTGGTAGTTGTTTTTAAACCACAGGCAAACGTTCCTTGCATAAGTGTTTTTTAGCCTGTTGATTTTTGTTCTTGATATTCAGCTGGAATTAAATGTTTTCCAATAAGACTAAATGTGAAGAAATTTTTTATTTTTTATTTTTTTATCTTACTGGAATCGAAATTAGGAATCGATAAGCAGAATCTGAATCGTTAAAATTCAAACGATACCCGACCCTATGTATAATATACACTCACCTAAAGGATTATTAGGATCACCTGTTCAATTTCTCATTAATGCAATTATCTAATCAACCAATCACATGGCAGTTGCTTCAATGCATTTAGGGGTGTGGTCCTGGTCAAGACAATCTCCTGAACTCCAAACTGAATGTCAGAATGGGAAAGAAACGTGATTTAAGCAATTTTGAGCGTGGCATGGTTGTTGGTGCCAGACGGGCCGGTCTGAGTATTTCACAATCTGCTCAGTTACTGGGATTTTCACGCACAACCATTTCTAGGGTTTACAAAGAATGGCGTGAAAACGGAAAAACATCCCGTATGCGGAAGTCCTGTGGATGAAAATGCCTTGTTGATGCTAGAGGTCAGAGGAGAATGGGCCGACTGATTCAAGCTGATAGAAGAGCAACTTTGACTGAAATAACCACTCGTTACAACCGAGGAATGCAGCAAAGCATTTATGAAGCCACAACATGCACAACCTTGAGGCGGATGGGCTACAACAGCAGAAGACCCCACCGGGTACCACTCATCTCCACTACAAATAGGAAAAAGAGGCTACAATTTGCAAGAGCTCACCAAAATTGGACAGTTGAAGACTAAAAAAATGTTGCCTGGTCTGATGAGTCTCGATTTCTGTTGAGACATTCAGATGGTAGAGTCAGAATTTGGCGTAAACAGAATGAGAACATGGATCCATCATGCCTTGTTACCACTGTGCAGGCTGGTGGTGGTGGTGTAATGGTGTGGGGGATGTTTTCTTGGCACACTTTAGGCCCCTTAGTGCCAATTGGGCATCGTTTAAATGCCACGGCCTACCTGAGCATTGTTTCTGACCATGTACATCCCTTTATGGCCACCATGTACCCATCCTCTGATGGCTACTTCCAGCAGGATAATGTACCATGTCACAAAGCTCGAATCATTTCAAATTGGTTTCTTGAACATGACAATGAGTTCACTGTACTAAAATGGCCCCCACAGTCACCAGATCTCAACCCAATAGAGCATCTTTGGGATGTGGTGGAACGGGAGCTTCGTGCCCTGGATGTGCATCCAACAAATCTCTATCAACTGCAATCAATATGGGCCAACATTTCTAAAGAATGCTGTCAGCACCTTGTTGAATCAATACCACGTAGAATTAAGGCAGTTCTGAAGGCGAAAGGGGGTCAAACACAGTATTAGTATCGTGTTCCTAATAATCCTTTAGGTCAGTGCAGTCAAAATGTCACTTTCTGCATTTCTGTCACATAAATGATGAGCAAAAACACTTCCTGCTTAACTCAATTTCTGAGTTTAACAACTACAGCTATTGGCCTTATGAAGGCAAATAGAATTAACTGATACCATTTTTTGGTTTCCTTTGTAATTATTGATTTATTTTAAAGCTTCTGTCTTTATTTATTGGCAAGTAGTAAGTTATTTTATTTGAGTAAGATAGGATCATAAGCGCAATATATCGGGAGACACATGGAGGGGATCAGAGTCAGACATGATTTTGAGCACTTCATTAAGTTTTGTTTTGTAGAAAGCCTTTCTTTAAAGTGAATTTCATTTTGTATAAATTGTATCTTAATTTTAATCAATGCTTCGTTTTGAATTGTTTTGTTTAAAAGTAGACATTTCAAGCTTTCTACATATATATTTTTCATGTCTGTCAGGCAAGTAGCTTAAGTTATACGCTGAGTTTCGGTTCATTGTCAGAGTCAGCCGACACTGACACAGAAAACACTAGTTTATTAATAAACAATTAAAATGTCTCATTGCTTTATTTGACATATTCATAATCATTACTTTTGCTGGTTCTTTGTGACAGTTTCAGGGTGACATCTGACATGGCAGCGTCACCCTCTGGTTACATGAACCACTACATCAGCACCGAAAACATAGCGATTTTTTTAGACAATAATCTAAAAGACAATAATCGCACCACCTATTCGATATTCTATAATTAAATCAACTAATCGAATATTTGAAAATCGTGACTCATCCCTAATATTCTCAATATGGCGGCCCCCTTGAGGAAACCCATGTGAAATAATGCTGCCTTCATGTGCTTCATTCCTACTTTCCACTTTTAAAGTCGTTATTACAAGCTCATCACATTCAACTGATTTGTTGTTGGAAATAACAGGAATCATGGAGGACACCAGGTTTATTCTTGCTATTTTTGGAAAAATCCGAAATGATATTTAATGTCCCCTTCACTCCCTGCTGAAAACCCCTCCTGCTAAATCCAGCCTAGGCTGGTTGGTTGGTCTTAGCCGGTTTAAGTTGGAAGTAGCTGGTTTAAGCTTGTCTTCCAGCCTGGCCAAACTGGTGTTCAGCTGGTTTAAGCTGGTCTCCCGGCTTGACCAGCTAAGACCAGCTTGGTCAGCAAAAAAAAAAAAAAAAGCAAAACCCCTCTAAAACCAGCCAGGGAGACCTAAACTGGTTGTCTGGTTTTAGCTGTTTTTCCAGCAGGGCTGACAGTGACAATATGAATATCCACCATGCTATAGTCAAGATAGCTTGCCAAGGATTCTGGAATTTCAGTCAAATACGGGCTATTTACGCTGTACAATATGCTTTAAATGATCATTCATATATGTAAATGTGCATCACTTTAATTACATAACAAGGCGATATAGCTGTTGCAGAAAAAACGAATAAAGAATATCAGTCACAGCAGCAATCGTTCCCCCTCCGCCATGTTTAAAGTTTATGGCCTGACCAACCAGGGAGCTCCGAGCTTCCCAGTGGTAAATTCGACTTGAGAGGTCATTCGTGTCCAATTTTTACCTACTGTAGGAAACTAGTATTTACAATAATTCCGATAGCAGGTGAAGGCAGCATAAAAAAAGCTATACATAGCCTATGTGTCATGGGAATATATGTGGTTTTAATTATATTTTTTACAAAAACATTTTTAAACATAAAAATTCAAAAGAGAGGAAAAACAACTAAGACCTGCTTGGTTGCCACATAATAAGATTCTCAATAAATATCTGTATTAGGCTAAAGAATATTGCCACGATATAAATGTAGCCTATCATAAAAGCAGTTCTTCTAAATGTTTCAACAAGTAAAACCGACAGGAAGACAGAATCCCATATCGTCTGTTAATTTTCGTTTTCTCCAAAGAAAGCTAACAAGGTCACTTTATTACATTTCTGGGACGCTTGTCTCACGGACTGTGATTGGACAAACACTCAAAGCGAGTGTGGTAAAGAACTTCCTTTACTCTATCAGGGGTTTCGTTTCAGAGGAATAAGTGCACTGTGTTACAGGCTTTCGACACTAGTTTCTTGCTCTGCTTTACAGCTGACGATCCAGCCAGTTTTTGTGTCAGGTACATCTGAATAAAGGTGTAAAAATGAATCACGTATTATTATTGATCGCGGTTTTCATTGCTGCAACAGGTAAAGTACACTATTTTACATTATTACTTGCTTTGAAAGGAAATTATAAATTACACTGTGTGTCCACCATTAATTAAACACTGTGTGGTTTAGCCTAAGTAGTGGATTCTGCATTCTGGAACTTGAAAAAATACTAACATATGGTACTATATGTCCAATAAAGTGCAAGGCATAAAACTGACTGATTTCTTCAAAAAGGAAGTGACTGTGCTGCAACATACAAGTCAAGTACAAGTCCCTGCAGTCCAGAAAACTGTTACTGGGGTGGTACCCTTTCAAAAATACACCTTTGTACTTAAAGAGTGCATAGTACCTTAAAGGTACATGTTTGTACCAAAAGTGTACATATTATTTTGTAAATTAGAACCTTTTTAAAGGGGAGGGGGATTTAAGGTTTATTGGGACACTTTTACCCAGTCATCTCAATGGCAAAAAGTGACCCAATCAACTTAAATTCACCCCCTACAGTCCCAGTGACAGCTTTTGTACCATTTTTTCTGAGAGTGTACCTAACCCAAGTGCACATTTTTGTCTACTATTAAACAAACTTTCCCTAAAGCAAAGAAAGTGTCAGTTATTTTGTCAGCACTTTCTGTTATGCGGCTAATCTAAGGTTCACACATCACATGAAAGTGGCTGAAGTGAATTATCACATTTCCCTATTGGGAAATTCTAACGTTGTGTACTTGTGAGCGCGCACACTTGTTGGGTGGAAGTGAATGTATGTAAACACCATGTGCAAAACAGATGGAGGCTCTCTGTTGCGTATTTTTCTTGCTTCCTTCTCAAAAACGTTTACCTAGCTAAATGTTTTTTATATAGGTAATTATTATTATTTTTAAATTATGAATCTTTTGTTTTGTCACTGAATTCTTTTGGCAGATGTAGCTCATGCTTGGGAACAAATTTTCTCACAATTCTGCATCACAAGTCTACATCTTTTTCCTTAGCTCTCACCTCAGGTGAATATAGTTCAGCTTTTATGGTCAAACCGAACACAACAGCCCTCCACCCGAAGACAACAGCCCACCACCCGAAGACAACAGCCCACCACCCCCAGACAACAGCCCACCACCAGAAGACAACAGCCCACCACCCGAAGACAACATCCCACCACCCGAAGACAACTGCCCACCACCCGAAGACAACAGCCCACCACCCGAAGACAACAGCCCACCACCCGAAGACAACATCCCACCACCCGAAGACAACAGCCCACCACCCGAAGACAACAGCCCACCACCCGAAGACAACAGCCCACCACCAGAAGACAACATCCCACCACCCGAAGACAACAACCCACCACCCCAAGACAACAGCCCACCACCCAAAGACAACAGCCCACCACCCGAAGACAACAGCCCACCACCCGAAGACAACAGCCCACCACCCGAATACAACAACCCACCACCCAAAGACAACAGCCCACCACCCGAAGACAACAGCCCACCACCCAAAGACAACAGCCCACCACCCGAAGACAACAGCCCACCACCCGAAGACAACAGCCCACCACCCGAATACAACACCCCACCACCCGAAGACAACTGCCCCTCCAGCGCCAACGCCACCCACCAACATGACAAAGGGGAGTTATAATGTTACTGATGGAAAAGGCAATATCTGTATTCTGGCTGACTTGGAAATCGGGATCCGTGTGAACACCAGTGAGGTAAGATGCTTTCTGTTGTAATGATAGATCTACTGTACATCCAAATGCTATTTCTGCTTATTATATTTAACCGCTTGTATCCTTCACACTGTCTACCTTGTCATTTCTCCATATTCCATGTAAATATTATCCATTTTTCTGAAACATTTCTGTCTTTCTAGGTTAATGGCACATTCATTGTTCAGCCGAGCAAAACTACTTCCCGTGGACAATGTTCGGAGAAAACGGCTAATATCATTCTCAGTTTTGATGAAGGCAAATTTATCCTAAATTTTAAAAATGTAAGTCTGTTTATGGATTTTCAAATAAAACTATTCTAAACACTGTTGTCATGCATGATGAAATTGAATCAACAAAATAATTCATATACCTTTAGAAGATCTAGAAGATTCGATTACCATTGTAGTTAGTTTATATCAGGCTAGTGGACTTTTTTTGCAAAAATAATTGATGTATCTTTCAGTACAACCTGAGTTTGTGTGGTCTGAAAACAGAACTTTGAGGCACTTAAGGAGGAAGTATAAACGACTCTCACAAACAACGTGACCAATAAGCTCACAGGGAGGCACCAGGTGTTCTCAGCTGATTGATTATGATATGGTGACCCACATCATATCAGTATGATGCAGTTATGTAGATAATGTTTGTTACCCTGGTGGTTTATTGATTGTTACAGGATTGTTGTTGTGATTTGAAAATTGTTTGATGGTTTTATTAAACATTATGGTTCCTATTCTATTGTGTTTGTGTATTTTGGATAACATTCTAATGATCTTTTTCTCTGGACTTTACAGGATGAAACAAAACAAAAGGTCTATGTCGAGTTAGTGGAGTATGATTTGACCTATGCTTTCAAACGTGGAGGTAAATTCCCTGCCATATGACTGTACACTTTGCCTTGTAAAACACAAACAATAACACACATCCTCAATTTTCAACAATTTATTCCCAGGACTTTCAAACTGTTACCTGTAGTTACACCGTTTTCGTATTGGGCATCTAAACAAAGAGGTTAAATATTTACTTTAATAAATTATATATATATATATTTTTTACTCATTGGTTCCTCAAAAATCTACTGAAAACAGAATTCTTGTATGAAAATTATTTTAAAGTAATATAAATAGCCAAGCCTCAATAAAACAAATAAACATAGTGAAGAACACTTTCCCTGTGAAAACTTCATATGCATGAATGCATTTCATTTTGAATTCAAAATCAATTAGCCTGGGAAAACCCAGACAACTTCCGGCAAATTTAGATTTGCTCTGAAAGTTAGTCTGGCAAAGAGCTCATTCAAGCCCATTTCCAATCCGTCAAAATCGAGGCACCAATCAGAAACGTTGGGGCGGGCGTTACACGATGACGACAGCGCTGGGATTTTGAAGCAGATTTTGTAGCCTACATTACAAAGATGGATGCCGCCGTTGAACATCACTCGTTCGAATCCGCTATCGCGTCTGTTTTAAGCGATTTGAACGTTTCCTTTTTGTTAAAAACTGAGCAAAGAACAATATTCGGAGATGTTTCTCCGCCGCTCTGCATACGTCATCTCCTTCATCGCTCTGATTGGTTTTAGGTCTATCCGTGACGTCCGTTGGTGACGCCCCTCTGGAAATGATTTGTCTATGACGCTTTGCCAGACCATAACTCAGTTACAACTGAGAATGGTCTGGTTTTAACCAGGCTAAAAATCAATATGTCTTTGCAAAAAAACATGGACATTCGTTTTTATGTCAATGTGAATACATTTTCCCAATTTCAAACATGAGTGGTAGTGGAAGAGTTTTCACTATAATTATGACTGTTATTGTTACAATTTCGTATATGTTTGATCAAATTATTTTTTATTTTTGTCAACAAAGCATTGGGAAAATACACAGGGAAGAACGAGTCTCTTGAGCTGTTTTCCGCGGCTCCGGGTCACTCTTACTCCTGCAGTGCTGAGACCGTGTACATGGGGAACGGTGTGAGTCTAGATCTGACCAATTACAGACTTCAGGCCTTCAACATCAAAAACAAGGGATTTGGCACAAGTGAGTACAATCTTAAAAGTAAGATATGTTCCTGGATCAACATATTTTGTGTCATATTCCTAACTCAAAATCAGTATATTCATAATCAGCATATTCCAGATGAAGGTGAATAACACTGATGTAGAAGCACTGGTTGTAAGCCTAAACGTGACAAACTCAAATCTGATTGGTTGTTTGGAATATTGTTCCAGGATCAACAAAGATGGTGCACTTAGTGAAATCACGTTCACCATTATGCCCTACACACTTCGTAAAGCTTGTTTACAAAGATTGGTGCAAATGTGGGAATGCAAAGGAGCTGGTTAGACCGGCCAGATGACTCTAAACAACCAGTGCTAAGAAAAAGTAGGCCTGTTATAAAGTCCAAAGGCTACTGTAGCCTTCACGGGCCAGAATTGGAGGGTTTAACTCAAAACAATTCACCAGGCAGAGTTTCAATGCAACAAACTTAACTTTTATTCTTCAAAAAATGTGGGAGGGGGAAGGGGACAAAACTGTAACTCAGGTTTTCCTTCTTTCTTCGGTAGCTCCTTTTGGCATCAAATTTATATCTAAAGGGGAGGCAGAAGAAGTGTAGCGTTAGCAGATGTCATTCAGGCTACTCACGTCCTCCCCTAGGCCTCTATCTTCCAGTTCGTGGTTGGGTCAGGTCTGCACTCAGTGTGTGTTCACCTCCTTTGTTCTCTCTCCTACTGTGGCTGCTTAGCTTTCTCTTATGTGGCCGCTAATTGGCCCAACAGCTTGCAGCTGAGGTTCCCTGTCAGAGGGGGAAACTGTGCACACCTGTGTTGGAGCTATCCTTGGTCCTGAACCTCATTGTGCAGCCTCAACCTTGTGTCTTCCTCTGATGGTGCTCTCCATGGTGCTGTAGGTGATTGTGCTGTGTTGTGAGGGCCATGTTTCCTTCTGGCTACCACATACCCCCTTTTCCAGCTCCAAGCTTCCGCTTGGAGTGTACGTCCCAGAGGAGTCATGCCTCCTAGACATGGCATCTGCATTCGCATGAGAGTTCCCAGCCCGGTGTTCCACTGTCCTGCAAGTGAAGAAACCAGCGAGTGATTCGTGCATTTTTCCCTTTGTTTTGAGACATCCATTTCAGCGGGGCATGATCAGTTACTAAGACAAATTTTCGGCCAAACTAGTAATACCTCAATTTCTCAATAGCTCATTTGAGCGCCAAACATTCCTTTTCAATTGTGGCATAATTCTTCTCAGGGGGCAGTAGCTTACGACTAATAAACATGACTGGGTGCTCCATACCATCCTGCAACTGAGATAGGACGGCTCCAATCCCTACCTCCGAGGCGTCTGTTTGTAGAACAAAGGGTTTGTTGAAGTTTGGGGCTTGCAGGATGGGCTCGCAACAGAGGGATTGCTTTAGTGCGGCGAAGGCCTGCTCTGGTTCTCTTGTCCACTTTACCTGATTTGGGAGGTATTTGCGAGTCAATTTAGTTAGGGGGGCTGCTTTTGTGGCAAAGCCAGGGATGAATGTTCGGTAGTAGCCAACTAGCCCGAGAAAGGTTCTTAACTGTTTCTTGGTTTGAGGCCGGGGCCAGGTGAGTATGGAATCAATTTTCTTAGATTGGGGCTTCACATTTCCCCTCCCAACAGTGTACCCTAGATAGTTGGCCTCTTCCTGGGCGAGTGAACACTTGCTGGGGTTTGCCGTGAGAGCCGCTGACCTTAATGCCTGTAAGACAGCCTCTAAGTGGTGGAGATGTTCTTCCCAAGTCTTGTCATGGACAACGATGTCGTCCAGATAGGCGGCAGCGTATTGCTGGTGGGGACGGAGGACTCTATCCATGAGTCTTTGAAATGTGGCTGGTGCCCCATGGACCCCAAAAGGAAGAACTCGGTATTGAAAGGCTCCCTCAGGAGTGGAGAAGGCGGTTTTTGGTTTTGCTTGAGGGGTTAGAGGTACTTGCCAGTACCCATTTGTCAAGTCCAGGGTTGTGATGAAACGTGCGGGGCCCAACCGTTCAATCAGCTCATCTATTCTTGGCACAGGGTAAATGTCAAATTGTGAAATCTCATTCAATTTTCTGTAATCATTGCAGAATCGTGTGCTTCCATCTGGTTTTGGGACTAAGACGATGGGACTTGACCAAGCACTTTGGGACTCTTCGATCACTCCTAACTCAAGCATTTTCTTTACCTCCTTCTGGATGGCTTCCCTTTAAGCTTCTGGAATCCTGTAAGGTCGAATTCTAACAACCTTCCCAGGTTCTGTTACTATATCATGGGCTATAAGAGAGGTCTGTCCCGGGAGATCAGAGAAGACATCACGGTTCCGCCACAAAAGCTCTCGTAACTCCTGCTTTTGTCTAGGGGAGAGCTGGTTACCCGTCTTCACGTCTGGGGTTACAGGGGAGAGGACACTGGCTGTGAGTACATCGCTTGGCGGGGCAATCGGTTCACGCCACGGTTTCAAGAGGTTTATATGGTAGATTTGTTGGCCCTTCCTTCGCCGGGTTGGCGTACTCTGTAGTTGACTGGGCCTGTCTGTTCTATAACTTCATAGGGTCCCAACCACCTGGGCAGGAATTTGCATTCGTTGGATGGGATTAGAACTAGTACCTTTTCTCCAGGGTAAAATTCTCTAATCTGTGCCCCTCTGTTGTATATCCTGGCCTGCTGTTGTTGGGCCTGCTGTATGTGCTCCTTTACGATGGGCCAGACCTTCGTCATTCGGTCGTGCACCTGTTCAACATGCTCAATGATGGTGCGGTGGGGTGATGGCTGCTGTTCCCAACTCTCTTTGGCGAGATCCAGCATCCCTCGAGGTCGTCGTCCATAGAGGAGTTCAAAGGGTGAGAAACCAGTGGAACTCTGTGGGACTTCTCGAACAGAGAACAAGACATATGGTAAGAGCTGATCCCAATTTTTCCCATCAACATCAATTACTTTCTTTAACATTTGTTTAAGGGTTTTGTTAAACCTTTCTACCAGCCCATCAGTCTGGGGGTGGAATATGGAGGTTCTGAGTTGCTTTACATTCATTTGTCGGCAGGTCTCTTTCATCACGGTAGACATGGAGCACGAGCCTTGGTCCGTAAGGATTTCGTCTGCTATCCCCACCCAGCTGAAGAGTTGGACCAGTTCTCTGGCCACAGCCTTTGAGGTGGCTGACCGGAGAGGTATCGCTTCTGGGAACCGGGTAGCGTAGTCAAGGATGACTAGAATATATCTGTGTCCCCGGTTGGATTTTGGCAGGGGTCCCAACAATGTCCAGCGCAATCCTGCTGAACGGGGTCTCAATGATCAGTAAAGGAATAAGGGGATTTCGATATGTTACCTTGGGGCTGTGGAGCTGACATTCAGCACAGTGACGACAATAGTCTTCAACCGCCTTCTTGACGCCGGGCCAATAGAAACAGGTGATGATTCTTTCGTAGGTTTTTTCCACCCCCAAATGGCCTCCCAGCAGGTGAGTGTGGGCTAAATACAACACTTTAGAGGCATACGGCTTGGGGACCAACAACTGCTCTACAATTTCACCCCTTTGCTGATCCACTCTATACAACAATTTATTCTTGATCATGAAATGTGGGTACGTGAGTCTACTCACCCCGTCTTGTAGCTGCGCCTCAACTACCTGCACAGTCCCCCAGGCTTGGCTCAGTGCCGGGTCTTGTAGTTGAGCAGTGCCGAACCGTCCCAGCCTTCCTCCCTGGAGGGTTTCTGCTGGGGGAAATTCAGAAAATACTTCATGGGATTCTATGTCGTCAAGTATCTGTACACCTTCAGGATCTTCTGATGCAGTGGCAGTGGGGTCGGAACCGTCTTCCATACCTTGATCATAATTGGTGGGCTCTTCAGGGCTGGTTGCTTCTGTGTCTGTGGCCCCTGCAGTGGTTAGCGACGGGCGGTGATTGGATAGACGGTCTCTTCGTCTGCGTCGAGTAGGTCTTTTTCCTTCTGCAGTTCGGTCTGTCCAGTAGGCCGAAAACGCTTGACAGTTTCGGCCGAGCAGGACAGGGACTGGCAAGTGATCCACAACCCCTGCTCGTATTTTAAACTGCCCTCGGGGGGTAACCATGCTTAGCAGTGGGGTAGTTTCTGGAGTCCCCATGAATGCAGGACACAGATATCTCTCTTCCCCTGAAGGGCCCTGCAAACCTTGGTTGAATCAGTGTCACCATGCTCCCCGAGTCTATAAGGGCTTCTGTGTCCCTGCCCCCAATCTTAAGAGGGACCCTAGGGGCCGCTACGCCCTCATGGGCCCAGCAGGTTGTGAGGAAATGGCATTGGAGCCTTGATGATTCTGAGGTACTGACCGTGGGCATGAGTTCCTCTCTGCCTGGGCAATCCCGAGCCAGGTGTCCTTCCCTTCCACATGTGAAACATCGGAACGGTACAGGATCTCGTGGAGGCCTCTCATCTCTCCAGTTTCCTTGGGCTTTTGGTGGCCTTGGTGACCGCTTCGGGGTACTTCTTAGGAGGCTCTTGCCTCGGTTTCCAAGAGGGGTTTTTATTTGTTTCTGTTTTCAACAAGTTCACAGTCACCTGGTGGTTTTCTAGGAGTGCAATTAAAGCCTCCACATTTTGTGGTCCTTGTTGAGCCACATATTTTTTTGCATCGCCAGGCAGGCCACGTGTGCACCGATCAATCCCTATTCTTTCCACAGCAGGTGGTCCATCCCCTTCCTCTAGCCAGCTTCTCAACATGCGGGATAGCGTGATCACTTGTGCGCGTGCTGGAAGAGATGCCTGGTATTCCCAGCAATGGACGCGCTGGGCCTTGGCAGGCAGGCTGAATCCATATTGGGCGAGAATTGCTCTCTTGACCACGTCATAATTGGTTGCCTCAGGAACGGTGAGGTCACAGCAGGCCTTTTGTGCTTCCCCGGTCAGCAGAGGGAGTATCAGGTTCGCCCAGTCTGCCCTGGGCCATCTCTCTCTTTGGGCCGTTTTTTCAAAGAGATCGAGGTAGGTTTCAACATCATCTTCTCTAGTCATTTTGGTCAGGTAATCTTGGGGTCTCCTACCGTGTGCCTCAGTCCTTCGGCAGAGCTCGGTGACTGCTGCGTTCAGTGTGGTCTGAGCCTGCAGAATGGCGGTCAGGGCCTCCTCCATTTTCTTATTGTTTTTCGTCTGCCCAGTCTGAATCCAGTGCGAGGTTCAACTTGCCCGCATTCTACACCATATGTAGCCTTCACGGGCCAGAATTGGAGGGTTTAACTCAAAACAATTCACCAGGCAGAGTTTCAATGCAACAAACGTAACTTTTATTTTTCAAAAAATGTGGGAGGGCCAAGGGGACAAAACTGTAACTCAGGTTTTCCTTCTTTCTTCGGTAGCTCCTTTTGGCATCAAATTTATATCTAAAGGGGAGGCAGAAGAAGTGTAGCGTTAGCAGATGTCATTCAGGCTACTCACGTCCTCCCCTAGGCCTCTATCTTCCAGTTCGTGGTTGGGTCAGGTCTGCACTCAGTGTGTGTTCACCTCCTTTGTTCTCTCTCCTACTGTGGCTGCTTAGCTTTCTCTTATGTGGCCGCTAATTGGCCCAACAGCTTGCAGCTGAGGTTCCCTGTCAGAGGGGGAAACTGTGCACACCTGTGTTGGAGCTATCCTTGGTCCTGAACCTCATTGTGCAGCCTCAACCTTGTGTCATCCTCTGATGGTGCTCTCCATGGTGCTGCAGGTTATTGTGCTGTGTTGTGAGGGCCATGTTTCCTTCTGGCTACCAGACTACCTAACATATTATTAACCAATGTGGATGCATGTTTTTTTTTAAAGGGGTGGTTGATTATGATTTCACTTTTCTAACTTTAGTTAGTGTGTAATGTTGCTGTTTGAGCATAAACAACAACTGCAAAGTTACAACGGTCAAAGTTCAAAGCAAAGGAAGATATTTTAAGGACTACAATAAACAGCTGGTAGGGACTACACAACATTCCTCCCGGATTAGTGACATCACCAAGCCTAAAATTTACATAAACCCTGCCCCTGGGAACATGCAGTCCATGTTGAGAAGAGGAAGAGTTGTTGTAGTAGAGCACATTTGAGTTTGCTCAAGCTGTCGCATCCGTCTTTTCACATGCAATACAGTACGTAAACACAAATGCAATAGCATGTCACTCTGTAGGCATCTTATAACAGTTTCCACACAAGTGATTTATATAGATTATCATGACAAAATATGCTAATCAATGACTTGAAGACAGTTAACTCCACATCAGCTACATAAATTTGTCAACTAACCATTCAGAAACGTCCTGTTGCATTCTGCATGTTGTTGCATTCTGCATGTTGTCACTTCTTCTTGAGTCTCTCCATCATTGTCTGACTCCAGTTTAAACATTAAAGGCAGAACAGTTTCTGACAATTTAGTGCTTGTCTGCGTGAGGTAATCGTAGCTGCTAACAACACACACACGTTTTTGAAGCTCCGCCCTCTGTGCCGGGAGCAGCAGCTCATTTGCATTTAAAGGAACACACACGAAAGTCACTTTTTACTGACCTTCAAAAGGGGACAACTTTAACATGCTGTAAAAAAATGATCTGTAGGGTTATTCAGCTAAAACTTCACATACACACTCTGGGAACAACATACTTATTTTACTGTATAAGGGGCATTATACCCTTTAAATCATATGAAAATCAGCTACTTTTTTAAATAGCTTTTTTAATATTTGACATGACAATTTAAAAGTCATGCAAATTAAATTATCTGTAATACAACTGTAAATAAGCAATCGTGTCTGCAATTTTGGCCACCCGTTTAAGTATTATGTATATTTGTATCTACTAAATTATTGCTATTTTAAGACTGGAAAACACTACACAACTTTTGCCGAGATTTACAGTTTGGATGAGTCGACGCTATAGGTGCCGAAAGTCAGAGCCAGTCTTCAGATTTGAGTTGACAGATTTGACAGAAAATTGCATAGTGTAAAATGATCACAGACTTTTGTTTCTTTCAAGTTCACTGTGCCCTATTTGTGTTTGTCCAACAGATGATCTATGCATGGCTGATAAACCGGACTACCGTATTCCCATCGCTGTGGGCATAATCCTCATCATTCTCATCGTCATTGTAGTCATTGCTTATCTTATCAGCAGAAAATGGAGAAGTAATGGGTACCAGTCACTAGAGGCCTAAAAGTCCTGATTTATACCAGCGATTCCGGTTTACAGGAGATTTAATGCTGTTATGTACGTCTTAAGTGAATGTTACTCATATCAATGATGAACATGGATGGCTTAGGATCTGTCCAAACAATGTTTACTATTCAGAGACGGTATGTCACATCCTAACACAAGCTGCAACCATACAAACAAATGGCTAAACTACTGCATGCCTTATTAGCCTATCATAAACTTTTTTTTTAAAACCTAACATTACAGAAGGATGTGCAAAATCTACGTTTGCTCCATCTTGTGTAAGTGTTCTTTTGCTCTTCTCTGTTCGTCTCATGCATTGCCTTTTCTGTGTTTGGCTGATCAGCCAATGTTAATCTCATAAATATGTCCAAATTTGTTTTCAAACCAATAGGCTGCCTAAAAGGGAATTCAGTTGCTCATGTTTATGTTGGGATATATAGGCCTTCACTGTGTTTTGTAATTAATAATAGAAAGGATTTTTCTTTCTGTTGTGCTTGTTGTTGTTTTTTGCAAACCGAAGAGCTTTACTATTCTGTATTGTGATCTGAATGCATTAAATAATGGGAAAAATGTGTAATTTTGGATACAAATAATAAATAATTTGTCCCAAAAAAGGTTACTTTTTTTAAATGTAGCATTAAACAGAAAACTTGTCATGGTAATGCATGTATAAAGCTGGTCATGATTTGTCTTTCTCACCCTGAATTGCATTACGTGAGTTTTTGTAGTTTACCCACTATAATTCATTTCATGTGGATTATCTTTTGTATATTAGTGAAAAAAAATGTTCTGTGGTGTAGAAATGGAAGAGGAAGAGGGGGAAAACGCAAGCATTATTTTTGGCAGTGTGTTATGTGGCGGCGCAGATGCAAAATCGTGCAAAAGCGTATTTAGAACAGTTTTCTATTCATTTCACCCAAATATGAGTCCACGCTTTCACAAAAAAATATTTAAAGCAACATATCTAAAATCATCCTCTCAATTCTGTCATTTTTTTTCTAAATTTGTTTTGGATTTTTGTATGTCCTTGAGAAAATCAACTTTTTAAAACCTTTTTATGCTTTTATTCATGTTGATTAAACATTGAGAGCATTTTTGTCATTTAAGATTTTTCGTGCCATATTCTTATGTCTGTGCAGCTCAGTAGTGTTTGTTGACATCTCTATTGCAAAACTATTTTTCCTGTTCATTCTTTTATAAAGTAGAGTAACGCACTGTAAAATACGACAGTGGTTTCAAGTTCAGCCTTTCCATCTGTATTGACGAAAGACCTATGGCAAGCCGTGTTAACATTTAATCCTTCAAATGTACCAGTATCTATTTTCATGCTATAGTGCTTATTTTTTTAGATACTAGTATCTATTCCATAAGGTACTACTTACTCATTTCATCTGCTACTAGTGCTTATTCTTTATGTACCGTTTTAAAGATACTAGTCTGTATTCTAATTTCAAGACTTACTCGCAACATAACGTTGAATTCCTTTTCACCAAGTCAGAATATGGACCATCTTGCTTTTTATATACGTGAAATACAGTGCGCCTCCACAACTGAAGAGCGTGCGCCGCACACAAATGTTGAGGAAATATAAAGACAGGAAAGTACATTTTTCTGAGGTGTTAAACTTTTTATTTCGAAACAAGTTATGAAGATAACGCTGTAATAATTACACAGACCATCTCATCTGACATCAGATACATCAGGTACTCTGGCACTTTTACTTCAACTGCCTCTGACAGAAGATTTTTTTTTTTTTTTGAGTTGAGTCTTAAGGTCCTTGCACACTGAGTCAGAAACTTAGCCTTCGTAGCCTATTTGTGTGTAAGGACCTTTACACTTTACAACGAACAAATAGCTTTTATAAAAATGTTTTTTTGCCAAAAAAATAAAAAAACTGCATCAGATTGGTTAAGTATAACATTACACAGTCTAGTACTTTTGTTAATTTTTATACCTGATTATATGGTATCTTTCCTTAGTCATCTGAAATGTCTGTTAGCAAATGTTATGCTAGCATATCATAACGATTTATAATGATGCTTTGCTGAGCTTACAATCATGTTTCGCTGTATATCCTATGTTTTTATTAATCATTTTGGTGTATTTTATTGTTCATTTGTGTGTGTTTTTCTAAATAAACAAACTTAATTCATTTTGAGTCTGCATTCATCATTCACAGCTGTTGAAATAAATTTGTTTGGGTAAATGAGGACATAAATTAGGTTAAACTGCATGTCCGCCCATAGAAAAATAAATAAAAACTGATTCAAAAAGAATCCAGGAATAATAATTTCACTTTTCCGTTTACATGACGAAGGTTTGGTCACCACGATTAGCCTACTTTGTTACGTAACAGTCACTTAAGGTAAATTGTAAGGGTTAGATGTTAAAATGGATTGCCATAGAAGTCTGTATGAACTCCTCAAGCTCCAGATGGGAGAAGGGCGGAAACATTCCGAAAATCCCATAACAGAGAGTCTTTTTCAGGGATAGGCAGCTATAATATAGCTATTGTTTTGAACGACCAGCCGAAGAAAATGACGAGTAAGATATCTTATAAATAATGTGTATTTTATAACTTGTTATTTGCAACAACCGAACCTGGACTGATCCGAGATTTCTTTTGACGCTGTTTCTCAGGCGAGCCCGAGGCAGATGTTTCGGACGTTGCAGCGCAGAGCGCGAGCGATTCGGGCGACGCGGGGGCGTTATTGGAAGTTACTTTCCAGAGGAACCCAAGTCAAAAATACAAATACCTGGAGGCAGAACCCAAGATTTTAGGGGTACACGTAATTAGGTTCGCGTAATTAAGTAGAATTCAATGTGTTGTGATTCGTAAAACACGTCCACTGAAGAGTTGTATGTCTCATCCACAGGTGACGGAGATCGCGCTGAATGTCTTCTTCATGGGTCTCGGAATTCCGTTGGCAATGTCTTTTGAATACAGTCATCCGTATGCTAAGATAATCTCTTTTGAATTGATGATATACACCATCATACGAGCGTTTTCCGTTGTTGTTGTAAGTGTTCATGTAGGCTATGTTTTAATTGTAATTATTTATTTTTATATATTTAATAAGCCTGCTCGTAAGCCATTTTAAGTTGTTTGCTGGTCTTAACCAATTTAAGCGGTTCAATTTAGGTGGGTTCATGCCTTGACGGTTAATTCAGAGATTAAAGGGCCACTGTCCTGCAGAATTGTGACCCTGATCTCTAACCTGCTTTATAGTGATCCTGAAGACATTGGCTGCGTCTGAAATCGCATAGCATACTGTCTTGTAGGCTACTTAGGCTAATTAGTAGGCCTACTTCACAACTGTTAAAAAAAGTATTGTAACGTTCTCAGGCAAGGACGAGACGGTTTTGATAACAAAGGGTGTTTATTAGAGGCTGTTGTCGGCCACAGCCCACGCCATACACACCCGACTTGAGAACCGCACTTGAACCAGCGAGGCGCTCTTCTCCCCTCCTCCTCCCCAGATTTCCAAGGGGTGGAGCCTCTTTCCATATTCAACTTGACAACGAATCAATCGAATCACATAAAACGAATAAAGTAAAACATTAACATTAAATGCATCCTTATTTGTAACAGAACAGCATTTTGAACACGTTACAGTATGTTCTAGTATGAGTGTGTGTGTGCAGGGGCGTAATTTGTGGGGGGGATATAACCCCCCCCCCCCCAATATTTAAATCTATGCATTACAACCCCCCCATTATTTATACCATGATCACAATATCAGGAGGCATACCCAAACTTCAACCCCCCCAATGTTCAAACCAAATCTACGCCCTTGTGTGTGTGTGTGTGTGTGTGTGTGTGTGTGTGTGTGTAAACTACTAGTACGAATGTAATCCGGACAAACTACATTCGCCACAATGTCATTTGCAGGACAGGGTCAGTTGCAGGACAGTGACCCTTCAGAACAGAAGTTGCTCATCCCCCATGATGTAACACTATGTTTTCCTTAAACAGGGCATAATTGCTGGCAGTGTGGCGATAGCAGCGCAGAAACTCCACTTACCGACAGTAAGAGTATATATAGACACAGCAAAAAAAGAGGAAATTTCATATAAAAAAAAGTGTCATCGTGCAAGTTATGCACTATGTGTAAAATGGGCCCACTGAAGTTGAGTACCCACTCCGAATGTGTCAGGAAATAAGCATTTCTCATTTCACGTGTGTCATTTTATTTCTTAACAGCTCAAGGCATGTTTGGGAATGCAGGTGATCACATGTGTGGCATATACTTGCTTTTTCTTCAACACGATGAATTCCTCAACACCTGGTCACTGCTGGCTTTATAACGAGACAATTACTGGAAACAGCACATGTTCACTTTTAGAGGTAAGCTACACCATTTTAAAGAGAAAATTTCAGTGCTATTATGCTTTTCTCCTTTGAAAATAATGCTCTGCATATTAGGATGGGAAAGGAAAAACTTTCATACACAACTGAAACGGTTTCTAAATGGAGAAATTAAAGGGAAAGTTCACCCAAATGTCAATTTCTAACCCTCATGTCGCTCCAAACCCGTAAGACTTTAGTTCATTTTCGAAACAAATGAAAATCTTTTTAATAAAATCTGAGAGCGTTCTGTCCCTCCATTAACAGCTACGCAACTACTTTGAGCTTCAAACGGTTCATAAGAGATCGTAAAACTAATCCAAATGAATTGAGCGGTTTAGTCCAAATTTTACAAAGAGACTCGATCGCTTTACATGATGAACAAATTTAATTTAGGCTTTTATTTACATATAAACATTCATCTTCTCACACATCAGGTGTGGTAAACAGAATCTCTTGGGCTCGGGGATTGACAAAACAGCTATGATGATGAAATATTTGCCATTTAAGGATTCATATATCATTACCCTCTTTACTCACACAGGAGGCATTCATCCAGCTGACTTTATTGGATCTACTCATGGAGGCGACTCAGATCGCCATCTCTCTCACTCTCGCCGCGTACTGTTGCAAGGTGATTGCCTGCTGCACTCCCAGATCTCATGTGGTACGTGATGCTCATTTCACAAACCTTTCCATGATGCTGGCGACCAGAACGAATGATGTGAAATATGATGCAGAGTTCTCGATTGTAAACCGTTTCTGTCTTTTTCAGCCTGTCATCGTCATGATGCGACCTACAGCTCCACAGTGAAAGTGATCGTGTGTGCACCTTAAAAGACGTAATTTTATCTAATAATA